TCTTTTGATGGTCAGTCCAGTGGAGAGGGAGTCTAAGCCTGTTCACTGTTTTACCTATAATTCTTAGATTAATTATAAAATAAAGGAGCATAGCAGTTTGCATGCGCCAGCTGGAGTTTTCTAGGTCACAGAAAACATGATGGCTAATGCACGAATGATTTAGCCAGGCGTGCAGCAGACCCGCAGCTCATTGTCACATGCACCCGGCTGCAAGCCTGTGCCATCGCCATCATCATCCTCATGGCTGGATCCAGCACGAGCAGAGCTGGCTGCGCTCTCCCCTGCGCCACAGTCTGAACTTGGTCTTGGGAAACCATTGCTAGTGTATGACCCCAAATCAAAAGCAGGCTTGATCCCGCACAGTCCTGCTGGGCAGAGCTTTTCTGAGCTCTGCTCATGGCACAACCCCGCAAGCCTGTGCCATCGCCATCATCATCCTCATGGCTGGATCCAGCACGAGCAGAGCTGGCTGCGCTCTCCCCTGCGCCACAGTCTGAACTTGGTCTTGGGAAACCATTGCTAGTGTATGACCCCAAATCAAAAGCAGGCTTGATCCCGCACAGTCCTGCTGGGCAGAGCTTTTCTGAGCTCTGCTCATGGCACAACCCCCTGCCTCAGTTTCTCCATCCCGATTGCACCACGTTTTGGACCCTCGTTTTGGGATCCACCCAGCCAGGCGACACAGGAGCTGGCACCCGGCCGACGTGCCTGCTTGCCGCATAGACCAGCCGAGGTGGCAGGGGGAGGTGGCTACATGCTGGCCGGCCACAGGCCACCAGGGCTGCGGGGCGTGCTCGAGTCCCAGCCATGGGGACAGCGCGGAGCGCCTGTCACACTCTGCGGCACCGAGCGGGACCTGCTGTTTGCAGAGGGCAGCCAGCAAATGCAACCACCCCCCTGCGCCGTGTTTGCTCAGAGCAGAGGCAGTGCCCTGGTGAGCCTGGATCGTGTGGGAGATTGTCAGCAGCTGCTATTGCTGGGGGAAAAAAAATCATAATGAATAAATAAACAAAACCTGTGTTTGGTGTGTTCCCCCTCTTGGGGCAGGCTAGGGTCTGTGCAGGGCTGGAGCCAGCTGCATGGGCTGTGACTGGAGACGTATTCTCCTGTTAACGCCCCTGGGAATGCTGCTCTGGTCTGGTTACAGCACCTGGCTGTGGCTGGACACAGCAAATAAATACCCCATTTATCCCTGCCAGCCCTCGTCGGTGCAAACCCCGGGGGGAGGTCTGGACATGGAGCCGAGCAAAGCCAGCTGTCGAGGCACCCACCTGGCCCAGGCTTCAACGCTGCTGGCTCCAACCACCCCCACAGGGTTACAGGTCAGGACCTCAATGGAAGCAGATTTTTGCCTTCACCTGCTCTTGCAGCCATCAGCTGGTTCCAGGCTCCACCATGAACACCCAGTGGCAATGCCCGACCCGCTCGGGGCTGGGAGGTTGCTCACCGCTGGCAGGAGAGCACTCGCGTACCACAAACCAGTATTTCATACGTGGTAAATACTAGAAATCTTCCCCTGGACTGAACTGCCATGACAGGGAAAGGGGTTTATCCCAAGGAGGGATCCTCACCCCAGACAACTAAATATCTGTCTGAGCGGCATCTTTCCAAAGTAGCATGCAAAAGTTAATGCCCAGCTCATGGCCTGCTTCTCTGAGTGAAATGCTTCTGCTCATTGCTACAGCCCCTTTCAGCTGACCCTGTGAAAGCTGAAGCAAGAAGGAGAAAGCACTGGGGACTCAAAAGCATAAAGAAAAAAAAATAATTAAATGACACGGCAGCTCTCAGTGGCATCTTTTTTCCCTGCTCTGGGGCGAATCCTCCAGCAACGCCTCAGGCATTTTACAAGCAACCGCACAGTCTCTTTCATTGCTCTGGAAAACAGTGAGTAGAGCCGAGTGGGATTCTAGACTATGATACCTGGGCGTGACTAAAAGCCGGGGAAAATCACCCCCCGAAGCCGTTCAGGGAGAGGAGCCGCAGGAGGAGGCAGCTGCTCCAGGAACAAGGAGAAGGAACTTGGCTTCAGTGGTGCCTCCCTGCAAAGAGCCGCTGCAGGAAGGATCCGCTCTGAGTTTTGGAGGGGTACGAACACTTACGGTTCACGGCAGGAATCCAAAAGGATCCGTCCTTGTGAGCACGGGTCTGCCCCGGAGTGGCCAAGCACAGCTGAGGGGCCTTTAGTGACAAGAAACTCACTCCGGCACAATAAAAAAAAACATGGCTGGACAAAAAAAACCTATCAGCAAAATTACACTTTATTTTTTCATTGTGGATTTTACTTTGATGTATTGTAACTTAAAAAGGTCTGGAAAAACCACATGCAAAAGGGTTTCTAATTAGCAGCTAAAGTTTCTATTCCAGCATTACAAGCTATTCCAAATGAAATGATTTCCAAATTGCCAGCTATAAACTATTCCATAAACAAACAGTTTTATCTTTAAACCCCCTCCACCCTACCCCAGTTAGTGCAGTGCAAAGGAAAAACCCACAGAATTTACATATTATTTTCCAACGTAACCCATTGCGATTCCAAATGATCTGCGATGAACTAAAATATATATACAATTTTCTCGCCATCATAAAAAAAATCTCCCTTTCTTATTCACAGATATATATTGTGGCAAGTGGCTGAATAATTACAAACAAACAAACCCACCTTTTTTAACAAGTTTCTTACAACAGTAAACACAAGGTGGGGAGGGCTCTCTGGAGGGAGGGGGGATTTGGCAGGGCTGGGAGGGGAGCACAGACAGTGGCAGAGGTTGGGGATCCCTTTTGGGGGTGTAAGGGACAGATGGTGCCATGGTCCCCGTGACAGAGTATGTGCTCTTCCAGAGAGGATGCCGTGTTCAACAAGAGGGTCACATAAGGCTTTAGGATCTGAGGCATAACACGAGCCATTGGGATTTTGTCTGGGATGGGGAGGGTGTGTGTGCGTCTGCTACCCCCGACAGTGTGTCCCTGCTGACACACCGTCAGCTCCAGCACAGCTCCAGGAATTGGAGCGGGGGCCCTTTGCTTTGTACAGGAGGAGTAGGGAGCACCGAGGGGCTGGCCAGGGGAGGTTAGCACCAAACTGTACCTTGGGAAAGCCCCGAGCCCCCTCCACGTCCCCACCACCTGGTGGGGCATCTGCCCCCGCCAGACCCTGGCTGCACCCACTCCACTCTCCTGCAGCACTGAGAGCAGGGCTCCAGGCAGCAAAGTAGGGGGGCTCTGGGCTTCTCACATTCAATTTCCAAGTTAATATCTTTCCCGTTTCCTTGAGAGTCCCGAACTCTTGCATCCATTATCCCGAGCGGAGCGCTGCTGCTCTGTTTGCAGCAAGGCTTCGGGTGCAGCCATGGTACCCCCGTGGCAGAGACCCAGGGCATCGGCACCGCTCACCCACCCAACGCCGGTGTCTCCCAGACCTGGGCAGCACGATGCCAAGAGCCCGCTCTGGGAACACGAGGCAGGACCATCCCAAGTCCCAGGGGAGCAATGTCGGGGCATGGAAGCACCAGCTGAAAATGCCACTTGTTCAGAGAGGCTGGAGGGCATCCCCTGCGGCTCAGGTATCAGACAGAGGGAAGTTGTTCCCTGCCACACTCTCACACATTTGTTCATATTTGCACTTTGGAAGGAAATTCTGGAGCCGGAGAGCAAAGCAGAAGGCAATGTCTGGGTTTTCCACCTGGGCAGCTCTGCCTACTAACAACGGGGGCTGCGCTTTGGAACAAAGAGACTGGAGACAGCTGGTGCTCAGGGCACAGCGACAATGCCAAGACAGATGGACCTTTACTTGACAGCAGCAGCAGTAAAAGCCTCTGGGAGGAAGAGGGGGCAATGCTCACAGCCACCCAAAGAGCACACAGCTGGGGAAGAAGAGATGCTTTCACAACTTAGTGAGAGAAACCCAGAGGTGATACCGTAGCCCTTACTCAGGTGGGTTTGCCCCTCTGAGCTCAGTGAGGTGGGACGTGTCAAGGGTGCAAGAAAAATCAGCCTGGCTCAGGGGGGTCCTGCCCACAACAGAACCAAGCTGGGAGGGAGGGCTGGACAGATCCATGGACGCATGCTCCCGTCCACTCCTCTGTACCTGGTGCCTTGGTGGCCTCCAAAACCCTTGTGTGGCAAAGTGCATCTCCAGTCCTGCAACGTGCCGAGACCTCCTGCTCACCAGTGGGACCAATCTGCACCCCAGGCTGCCCTCTCCACCCACAGCAAGGCTGGTGGGACCCAAGAGGGTTGTAAAGAAAACGGGCTTGCGATGCCGAAGCAGCTCTTTCCCCTCCTGTCCGACCTGGAGGTCCACTTCCAGCTTACATCTGACAGCCAAAACACGCTCCTGGTTTCACAGACGGCATCCTTCAGATGAGTAACAGCCCTTTCCTCCTCTGGGGTCAGGTGTTTCCTCTCTGGTGGTCCTGGCTGCAGAGCAGTGCCGCCAGGGAGACTGTTCAATTCCTGACTTGAGAAGCCCACTCGAGCAGCGTGGCAGGAGCTCCGCATCGCCTCCTCGGGGCTGAGCCACTCCACCCCCATAGAAATCCCCGAGAATTCTCACCTTGGCACACCCGGGCACCAGCCCAGGCGCAAACCTTCAGCCTCACTCTCCCACCACCATCACCACGGTGGCTTAATTAAAACACCTTTACTAAAAGGGTTTTGGAGGACCGCATCCTCCGGCGGGCAGCGCGCAGAGTCTCTCAGCTCTGTCCATGCAGGGGAGCGCGGCTCTCGCGGGGCTCTTCCGCAGCTGCTACACGAGCGTTATCCGACAGCCCGTCTATCTTCTTCTATACACGTAACAGGAGCGAGGCCAGCGGTGGCCCCGTTGCACGCGCGCACACACACACTGTACAGAGGAACGGATTGCTAAAGAGTCTGCGAGAGCAGTCCTGGGAGGCATCTGGCCACGGCTCTCGGGGACCCACGGGCGTCGGGACAAGTGTGCACGGTCTGCAGCGGCTGGCTCTGAGCGCTTGATGACTTTCCATCAGACATCTCCGCAGTCATTGCACCCCCTCCTCTTCCACGTACGTTGAGGGAAACCAGCCAACCTGTCGGGGAAGCGGAGAGGTGAGCTGGAGACTGGGGAGCTCAAGGGATCTCCTGTCTCGACGCCGGGACTATTCCCCTACCACCACGTGTTGTCCCTGGTGAGTTGTTTGTGCGGTGCTGGACGTGCCCACATCCTGATTCTCGGTGGCAATTTAAGATGGAGCAACTACATATTGGGTTGTCTGCAAAATATAAGGGATCAGGGCTTGAAGAATCTGTTCCCAGTGCTACACACTCTGGGGGACACCAGGTCAAGTTGTGAGCCTGGTGCTTTTCCCGGGGACGCTGAGCCCTTCACCTGCAGAACGACTCCTGCAGAGCTCCCTCAAATGCAGGCTGAAGGAAGGGCAGATCCGGACAACACTCGAGCTGGCGTGTCTGCACGTTCCCATCTGCCTGCATGCACTGGGCACAGCATGTCACTGTCACAAGGCACCAACTGGTGACATAACACCAGTTCTCATGAGATGACAGTCCACCCACGAGCTGGAAAAGTGGGATGTGTGACCCTGCACTTTGCTGTCCTAAGGGCAGGTCGTGCTCTGGGTGGGCAGGCTGAGTGGGAAGGAGGGCCATGCGCCACAGGAATGGGGACAGGATGTTATCTGGATGCACTCACTCTTCCATTTGTTTCCCCCTTCCACCAGCCCTGGTCGCCGCCAATCCTGCTGTAGATCTTCACCACGTCGCCCTCTCGCAGCGAGAGCTCCCGCATGTCCCGCGCCGCAAAGTTGTATCGTGCCACCGCCGTCCCTATGACCCGTGGGGTGAACACTGCAAGGGGACAAAGCAGAGAGAGTTGGGAGCTGCTCTGCCTCAACGGCACCGGCCGAAGCCTGGGGAAAGCTTGGTGAGGTTCAACCTGGGTTTTCCACTGCGGCACCGGCTCCCATTGCAACACCACGACCTGGAGCAGCTCAGCTGGTGGGGCTGGCCTCACCCGACCCGCCCAGCCCAACAC